TATCACAACTCATACCATGCCATCATGGGGAATTAAAAAAAAATTAAAAAGATACCATCCAAGACTAATCTTTTTCTAACAGCAGTAAAATGAGAAACTTAAAACTTAACATACTTAAATCTCAAAATAGAAGGGTAGCTTGACCTTGGAAAACCTTATTAGCAGATGCTTTACTACTTGGTTTTTGTTGCCTGATGCTTGGCACATGTTAGGTCTCAAGTAAGAATCTGAGACTATGTATTTTAAGAAGAAAAACAAAAATCAAGTAAAAGTTATAATATGGACTCATAGATCAGGACGTGACTTTTAGGATTTGGATCCAGTGTTATTTCCATGTAGTAACGGCCATTCTAGCCATCGCTGGACCAGGGGCACCTGGCATGGGCCATATTGATATCTCAGTGACCACCTCCATTCTAAGGCAGGGAGCAAACTGCCTTGTTTTACATGAGTCCCAATCTGAAATTGTCTTTTGGTAAACTTACTCTTTTAAATTTCTCTGTTGCCATAACTTTACCACCTGTAGATGGTCATTCTGGTATGCAAATCCCCCCAAACCAAATCAGCTTTCTAAATAGATTAGGATTTAATAAACCACTGGAAGTGATCCCTGAAACCAGGTAGCTGCCCTGTACTCTTGTCTTCTGAGTGACTGAACTCTTTGTCCCTGAACTCAGGCATTTCTAGTAACTGGGCTTCTGGGGGGTGTTTTTAACTTGCTACCCAGACCTATGTACTTGCTTAAATATCTTGAATTCAATTTTTGATCTGGATTCCTCTTGGATTGATCTGTTTTGGCTTGAAAGGGACATTTATTAGTTTTCCTATATATCTTTGGCTAGAATAGCTGAGTGTAGTAGATCACAAAATGGCCACAAATTGCTTCCATCCCTATCTGCACACTTCTTTGCAGTATGACTTTGCTTCTCCCACTGCCTGACTCTGGGCTTGGCCACGGACTTGCACTGGCCAGATAGCAGATGTGATGCAAGCAGAGGCCTGGAAAGCAGCTGTGCCTTGAGAACTTACCTTCCTGCCATCCTCAACCCTGTCAATCAGTTCAGTCTGGCCATCCAGACATGTGCCCAGCTGTCAGCCGGCACTAGCCAACCTCAGCATCAGCTGCTAGATCAGTGAGTGAAGCCATCCTCCTCCAACAGCCCCTAGCTAACATGCTGACTGCGGCCTCATGTGTGAGCCCAGCTGAGTGCAGCCAAAATTACTAATTCCCAGGATTGTGGCAATAGATGGGTTGATTACCAATATACTGAGCCCTGGTCAGGTTCCTGTGGTTAGATTGCTATCCTCTACTGATTCCAGGTTCTGAGGGTTCCTGGTTTTGTCTTTCTACAGCCATCCTCTACTTGGGGAATTCCTCTTTTGTAGGAATTGATGCAGAACTATTGGTCCCAGTCCCTGTCTTAAGGGAATGTACCATATGAACTTTTACGGGGACACAGCATGCCCATTTGTTTATGTATTATCTATATCTGTTTTCACTCTACAATAAGTAGTTGCAACAGAGACCAAATGATCCACAAAGCCTAAAATATTTACTGTTCTCCCACCCAGAGAAATAGATCAGCAGTGTATGAGTAATAATTAACATGACATGACATTTCAGAAGTTGAGCAGGCCCAGTCAGACTGATAGCAATTGCTTTATTACCAGGTGAAATTTGAGCATAGATTGTGTAGGCTAAACTCCAAGGCTGTGGAAAACGTATGTCAGGTAGAAAAAAAAATTGTATTTCTATACATTGGCAATACATGGTTAGGAAACAGTAAAAAATTCACTACAGTTACCAAAAATGTGAACAACCTAGGTATAAATAGAAGAATGTGTAACACATTCATGGAGAAATTTTTAAAATTTTATTGAATGACAGGAAATAAAACTACAATAAATGGAGAGACATGTGCCCTCTTCATGAGCAGTAGCCTGTCTTTGGTGGTTAAATTGAAGCTCCCCTGAAGTGGGGTACAGGAAATGAGTTGACTAAACCTAACTGCACGGGAAAGTTCAGAAGGGATCTGAGGTCCTGATGCCAGAATTTCACACCAACGGGCTCTGGGTTCAGGCAGGTCATTCAACCTCTTATCTGTGTGTTCACAGATCATGCTGTCACTTGGCTGTCACTAGGGCAGTTCAAATGATTGCTTCATTGCAATTATTTATTTTTCTTCCCAAACAGAAATAGTGTAGCTTTATCTGATTCATAAAAGTTATATATGCTCATTGTACATTCAGAAAATTGGGGAGAAATCAGAATACTTTGGCTGTCTCTGAATGGTGGGAATGAGTGACTCTTGAGGAACATTTGAGTATACATGCTTCTATCATGATCCGGCATGCTTCTGTGCATGTGGACACGCGCATATTAACAGTGAAAGTAGGGCTGTGAAGGCTTATATAGTATAGGGTGTGGACTCAAGAGTGGTATGAATTCTGCTTTGTCTGGTCCATGTCTCTCTGAGGTTTCCAACAATGACAAATAAATGAAAGTACATGTATTAACTGGGCCAAGGCTTGATACTCATGTGTAAACTTGAGTGAAATCGACAGACTTGAGGCTTACGCAGGCCTTCTGCTCCCCTGTATCTCCCCACCCCCTAAGTCCCAGTGTCACCACCAGCCTGAGGGAAGAGCATTTCAGAGTGCCCCGGTGAGGAGGGGAGAAGCAGGGGAAGTGATGGCAGGGACCAGTGGGAGCAATCAGATCCCCAGCAATCCTGTGGGGCAAATGGAGAGAATTTGTTTTCTTTCCACAGTACATTTAAACTTATAGACTTCACTGAGAGGTTTTCAAATTCAGGTGAGCAAGGGGGCTGCTGGGCTGGTAACCTGTTGGGGAGAGAATGAAGTAGGAAGAGGTGGAGCCCTCGGCAAATTGGACCTCACCTTTGGTGGAAGGCATTCAAGACTTTAAAAACACTGTGCTGTCAAGCAAAAGAAATCTGGGGCCACTCTTCAGTGAAAACTTTTGTATTCTATCCTTTTACCCCCCACTTCAAAAACAGGAATGATTTTTAGGGTCCACCTCCTATGCCGCTGCAGGAGATTGGCTGCACTGTCACACATCTGTCCCCCACTTTCATATTGTAGTAACTGAATTCAGGATTTTTGTGGCGCTTCAGTGATTAATCTTCCCGTGTGTAGTTAGAGTGGTGGATGGGGGCGCTCAGGAAGTCCAGCATGGGGATACCAGGGCAGCGGAGCCAGGGTAAGGGACTGCAAACAGCAGTGCCATCTCTAAGTATGCGTGTCTGCATGTCTCCTTTCTTTGACTCTTCAGTTTGTCCAGAAAAGAATCTGCCAGTCTTCATCTAGCATTGTTGTTGCTGATCAAAGGAAAGTGCCTAGAAGGGTGTGTGTGTGTGTGTGTGTGTGTGTTTGGAGGGGGGTGGGTTTTTTTTCTTAAGACTTTATTTGAGAGAGACAGCACACAAGCAGGGGGCAGGGTCAGAGGGAGAAGGAGAAGCAGACTCCCCACTGGGCAGGGAGCCTGATGCGGGGCTTGATCCCAGGACCCTGAGATCATGACCTGAGTCAGAGGCAGACGCTTAACAGACTGAGCCACCCAGGCACCCCAGGATTTCCTTCTTTTTAAAGACTAAATAATATTCCATTGTGTGTATAGACCACATTTTGTTTATCCCTTCATCCATTGATGGCATTTGAGTTGCTTCTACCTTTTGGCTATTGTGAATAATGCTGCTGTGAACATGGATGTACAAATATCTCTTTTAAGTCCCTGCTTTCATTTTTTCTGAATATATATCCAGAAGTGGGATTGCTGGGTCTTGTGGTAATTCCATTTTTAATTTTTTGAGGAACCATCATACTGTTTGCCATAGCAGCTGCACGTGTTACAGTCCCAGTGGTAATATACAAGGATTCCAATCTCTCCATTGTCTTTATCTTTTTAAAGTAATAAATGCTCCTTTTGAATAAAACTGCAAAAATAGAAATATGAAAAAATTAAAACCACCCATATTTTGCCCTACAGGGATAATTAACATTTCCTTTTCTCCAATTTTATTTTATTATTTTATTATTTTTTCAAGCAAAGTATTTTTTTTTATTATGTTACATTAATCACCATACATTACATCATTGGTTTTTGATGTAGTGTTCCATGATCCATTGTTTGTGCGTAACACCCAGTGCTCCATGCAGAAGGAGCCCTCTTTAATACCCATCACCAGGCTAACCCATCCCCCACCCTTCTCCCCTCTAGAACCCTCAGTTTGTTTTTCAGAGTCCCTAGTCTCTCAGGGTTTGTCTCCCCCTCCGATTTCCCCCCCTTCATTCTTCCCCTCCTGCTATCTTCTTCTTCTTTTTTTTTTTTAAACATATAATGTATTATTTCCTTTTCTCCAATTTTAAATAAAAATATAAATTCACTGAAGTTAGGCTGGAAATATTTTGACTTCTAGTGCTAGGCTGACCTCTAGAGGTAGAACTGGTATGCTGCAGCACTTACTAATGTGCTTTGAATGCGTGCCTCTTAAATAGTGTAGGCTGCAACATTGTGGCATATCTGAGGCTGCTGAAAACCCTACCGAGAGCCCTTTCTTTTCCAGGTATTTATGTGTTATGTTCTTCCAAAATACTTAATGAAAAATATTGGAACTGATCTAATTGGGATAAAACATTGCCAAATGGCTGGTTTTGATTTACGGGCCTAGTTATTGAACTTGAAGAGAACATGAGGGATTATCTGAGTATGTCTGAAAACTCCTCCAAACGTTTCATATGGTTTTCTCTTGGGATCCCTGCACAGCAGGGTTCTGGAGTTTGCAGCCATGCAGTGGTCCAGTGGGTTAATGTATGACCGGGTCTCTCCCCTCATGCCCTTGTCTTTTCCAGGGGCAGAAAGGGCCTCGAGGCCAAATTGCTTATATAGATTCTTCACCCTGAGTCTAATCTGCATGAGACCATTGGTGTGGTTATTCTGGCTACTACCGTCTGTCTCTTTTTCCTTTCTTTCTCCATAGGGACAATCCCTGGGAAGTCCATAGAACAGCAGCTCATCGAAGAAACAAGAGCCTCTTTTGTCGTCCCATCTGTTTGTTCTAATCCGACTCACTACATTGGGAAGAAAGGCTAAAAGTTTGCTTTGGCTTACTGCAGCTTAAAGCAGGTGCTTTGAGCACATTAGGTACTCAGACATAATTCTCTCAAGGATGAAGTGGGTAATTATTGTGTTTTTAGGCTTTGGCATTTAAAAACCCTCTCTGAATTCAGTAGAAAATAGTTCTGTGAGGTTGGCGGTTAAAAGAACTTTAATGTTTTGCTTATTTAAAAAATGACAAGAAGCACATATGTCAAGATTGGTGGTGGTTAGTTCTCAGTAGAAATATGGGGATGTTTGTTTTTCTTACTACTTTTTCTTTTTTTACTTTTAAAAATAAGTTACGAAAACAAAGTCTTTCCAGAAAGGGAACAGGGACACCATATTATGTTTCTCACTTGTTTCTATTTAATAGCAAATACATTTAATTGAACAGAAATGATTTTTTGTTTGGTAGCTATAAACAGTCCTTCAGAGATATGAACATTTTTATTCTGGTTATATTTATGGGCAACGTAGTTAACATTTATCAGGGTTATTGGTCCCTAGGCTTAGCCATTGCTACAGGTCTAATTTATATAAATCATATAGTTTAAAACCAAGCAGTTTAGATATGTGATAATTTCCTTCAGCCAATAGTTCCATCTAATTTCTGAACAAAGTAGGTGCTAGGCCCTTTCGGGTTACAAGTATAGAGGTACCCAGATTATATCCGTCAGTGGGGATGTATTGTGAGGCTCTTCAAGGAAGCAAGGGACCCTGGAAGCTACCCCTGCAGCTACATCACTGTTGCAGAAACAGGACATTGTTCAGGCGACATCTGAGCTTCTGATAGTCAGACAACAGCTCTGGTAACTTTCAGCAGTTCTGGGGAGGATGGTTGCATAGCAGGTCCTTGTCTGAGGTCCTGCCTTTCTAAAGCCCACAATTGCAGTGATTCTACCACTAGGCCTACACCTATGGCTCCATGTACCCTTGGCCAACCCACTTTGAGGGTCTTCATTTCAAACTGCCATGAGGGATGAGCTAATTGATGGGCCATGTACCACTGGCACAGGCTCCCCGTGGGCTGAACTCTGTTGGTAATGAAATCCTGGAAGGATTTGGTAGTTTTGTTAGGTACACCAGGGCTAACCGGATGGGAACCAGGAACCCTGTAGTCTAAGTTCAAGCTCAACAGGCTGGGACTCCGGTGTTAGCAACATTCAGGAGGGAGGGAGTGCATGCAGACTCCTCTCTGTTTTCTCCAGTAAATTGGCTACCTTGAATCTTCAGATTTTAAGCCAATAAATTGTGCCAATTAGCCCTATAAATAAGTCCCACCAGACAGGATTTTTTTTTTTTTTTTAATGGCAGAACCATCATGGTTTAGTAGGAAGAGTGAGGAAAAGGAAGAGGTTTCTATTCACTTGTTTAAGGGAAGGAGTCAGAAACTGGTTTCCATCCCACACGTGGCTAACACTTTTTGTCCTGGAGTGAGTTTGTAACCAGTGTGGGCCTTGATTTCTAAAGCATCAGAGTAAATAAGCTAAATTAAATTAAAAAAGAACCATTCTTTGTGTTTTGATGCATTTCAGAAATATATTGTTGTTTTTAAGGCTAAGTTTATTGGCTTCAGGTGGATTTAGGTATTATTTATATGTGTAAATATATGTAAGATTTATATAATGCAATAGTATATATAAATAATACATATATGTATTTTTTCAAGTGGGCAAAGCTGGAAAACAGAAGAGTAAGGCCTTACCAGTGGTAACTCTAAAAACCAGTATTATTTTTCTTTGCTACACATATGAACAAGAACCATGATGTAATCAATTAGCAATTGTGTGTTATAAATTCATATGCCTAGTAGAGATCATATTCACATTGGATAACTTATTACTGAAATGGATAAGGTCAGTATTTCTCTTTTATCATGAAATATGAAGTGCACATAATATCTAAGAATATTAGATTTTAAAGAAACAGTCTAGAGTTTAGTTTCTGGCAATATGGCAAAATAAGTATCCTGAAAGACTTTTCCACTTCAAAATACTTAAAAGGATTGAGTAAATGTATAGTTTATAATGCATAGCTGATCTGGCAAGAAAGTAATGGAAACTCTGAGAGGCCAAATTTGGGAGCACAGATCCTAAGAGATATGTGAACGTCACAGCTGCTCTAAGATAATTGCCAATCTTGCTTTGGTTCTAACAGCAAACCTTAGTCTGTGCAAGATGGGGGATCAAATTGGAGACCCCCAAGTGAAGCTAGTATTCAGAGGGTGACATTGTTGGTGAAAGGAGTAGTAGGAAAAAATCTAGTCTGTATGTGGGGGCTTGTCTGTCTTGGCCTTGGTTCTGGGTGGTGGGGAGAAGGAGTTTCTCTGAGAATTTATAACCACAAACCAGCTCTCTAAGAGTTTTGGAACCCAAATTCATATTACTGTGTGGTCTTATAAACTCTAATCCAAGAATTCAAATCGGTCCCTTGGTTAGTAATGTCTGCAGTGCCTGTCAGCAGGAAGATAGACATCGTCTCCAGAATAATGTACCTTAAATCAGAGGCTCACAGGATTCCCACAGAGTTCAGTGAACATCTGCTCACAACTAAAAATCCCCAAACACACGGGCGCCTGGGTGGCTCAGTTGGTTGGGCGGCTGCCTTCGGCTCAGGTCATGATCCTGGAGTCCCTGGATCGAGTCCCGCATCGGGCTCCCTTCTCGGTGGGGAGTCTGCTTTGCCCTCTGACTCTATCCCCTCTCATGTGTTCTCATCTCATTCTCTCTCTCTCAAATAAATAAATAAATAAATAATCTTAAAAAAAAAAAAAAATAAAAATCCCCAAACACATCAGAGACAAGGTTTTATGACCATAGTAAACTGGAAGTCGGATCTGAAGATATTATTTAGCATGGAATTCAGGAGATAAAGAGATGGGAAATGTGAAAAAGTAGTTAAGAAATATGAATGATACAGAGAGGATGCCTAACATATATCTCATTAGAGGTCTGAAAGATTTAGAGAGAATAGGGAGGAAGAATTTATGAAGATACAAGAAGCGAGACTTCATTTCAGTTGAAGACACGGATCCTCATATTCTGGAAGAACAAAGTGTCCTAAGCAGGGTAAATAAAAAGGATATCTGTATCTACATGCATCCCAGGGATACTACAGAACACCAAGGGACATAAGAAAAGTCTTAAAAGTAGAGAGAGAAAAGACAGACTACCTATAAAAGAATTACAAATTGACAACAAACTTTTCAACAGCTAGTGGAATTCAGAATATGGTGGAAAATTATCTGCGAAGTACAAAGAGCCAAACATAACCTAATTATCTGATTTGAGGCAGCTTTAATAGATAAGTCTTCTCTGTTCTGTAAGCACAATTTTGGACAGTAATTTTACAGGAATTCTACATATATCACATGGTCTATTCTAAAAGTTTTTTTTTGTTTTTTTTGTTTTTTTTTTGATGTAAGTGTAGTAGGTAGAACAATGACTCCCCCAAAGATGTGCATGCCCTAATCCCCGGGACCTGGGAATATGTTACCTTACATGGCAATAGAGACCAGACATGATTAAGTTGAGAATATGAATATGGGAGATTATCCAGATTGGCTCCATGTAATTACAAGGGTCCTTATCAGGGGGAGAGAATGAGGAGAGCCAAAGAAGGAGGTGTGATGGAGATTGCAGAGGTTGGAGTGATGAAATTGCAGGCTATGAAACGGAAGAGGACCGTGAAGCCAAGGAAAATGGTGAGGGGGGAGCTGTAGGCGCTAGAAGAGGCAATGAGCAGATTTGCCTCTAGAGCCTCCAGAGGGAATGCAGCCTTGCTGATACTTTGATGTCAGTCTACTTGAGATTTCTGACCCCTGGAACTGTAAGATAATAAATTTGTATTGTTTAATCCACTGAGTTTGTGGTAATTTGTTACAAAAGCAACAAGAAACATACAACAGCTTTATTGAGATATATATAGCATATATTTGGCTCTTAAAGTATACAGTAAATGGTTTTTAGTACAGAGTTTACAGAGTTATATAACTCCAAAAATTTTCAAAAAATGGATCCAAAACATGAAATGAAAATTAAATGATCTTTGGATCGAGTGGTGCCCTCCTCGCTGTGGTTATTCGAGTGAAGAACTCGGACTGTGTTCAGGGAGGTTGGGGGTCGCTGCTGGTGCACAACGCCAGGATCCTCTAGGACAAGTAAACATTCACTCTTCCTTCTTATCTTGGTAGGGCAACATTTTCTGGTAACTCTTTTTACTATATTTCCCTCGATGGTGTTTAAAATATCTGTTTTCTGCCATTTAAGTCAGTTCTTTCTTGACTTTAGGTTATCAAACTTACAGTCAATTTCTAATCTGTTGCTAAGATACCACACAATACTCTAGACAACTAATACGAACTTCTTGATGAACTGGCTAAGAAACACACGTTGTTTTGTATATTTTCAGTAACTTTATAAACCTCTACTTCAAGGAATGTGTTATATGTAAAAATATTTTTCAAACGCTTGCTCACTGGGGGTAGTGGTCAGGCGTATTCAGTTCCCAACATTGAGTTGTTCCAAGGAGCAACTTCTGCATGTGTGTCCTTAGGATCCTCTAAAATAAGGTAGCCATTTTCTGGCTTGATTTTAAGGTAGGTTTTTTTTTTTTTTTAAAGTTAATATATTACAGATCTTCCAAATTATCTACATGACAGCAATCTCAGATTTCTCCCTCTCCTTTAAAAAAATTTGGGTTCAGATCCCATGTGTGATGATGACCTACAATAGTGTCTTTATGTTTGTTGACTCAGAAGCAGGAAAGACTTTGAATCTGCGTGATCATTTGTTGACTCGTTATCTTTGCCATGGAGCTTCTTTTTGTTAGGTATAATAGTGTTTGCATTTCAGCATATTTTTGTATTTTTTTTTTTTTTGCAGTAACAGTAGCAAGAAAATTTCTGTTCCTCAATTTGTAGCTAAAACAAAATACAAGATACATAGTTTGTTTTTTTTTAATTTTTTTTTAAAGATTTTATTTATTTATTTGAGAGAGAGAATGAGATAGAGAGCATGAGAGGGGGGAGAGTCAGAGGGAGAAGCAGACTCCCTGCTGAGCAGGGAGCCCGATGCAAGACTCAATCCTGGGACTCCAGGATCATGACCTGAGCCGAAGGCAGTCGCTTAACCAACTGAGCCAACCCAGGCGCCCCAAGATACATAGTTTTAAGAAAGAGAAAAAATGAAAAACAACAAAAGCACAGCCCCTAACATCTGGAGCTGGCCCAGCACTCATGGCTGGGCCATGGCATTCTCCTGTTGGACATAAGCAGTCTCAAGAACACCCACATCAGACAGGGTCACTCTTAGACCATGACAGAATGAGACAAAGCAAGACCATGTTTTAAATTTGTCTAAGCATAGACAAAAATGAGATCACTGTGTAACCCACAAATACTGAGCAGCCTTCTCTTGGCTAAAATGAATGACTGCTACTTCTTTGCTCATGACAGCTTTATCTTCAGTCTAGTCTGTCCTCCAAATATTTATGTTTATTGAGATACTCAGTGTTCAAATTGCCTTCCCTTTCTACAGCATCCAATCCAGTGAAATCAGACCCTCAGATCCTCTTCCAAATCACCCAACCAAAGCTCAAATCCTGCTACAGGTTCTCCCTGACACTTTCTTACTAATACCCCACAGTTCCCCCTGCTGTGCATTCTCCCTCAATGCAGTGAGTAACAAACCTGACTTGTCCTACTGTAGGTGTGTTCCTGGTAGTCTTCGGCTGAAGATGTCGACAGCCTAAAGATGAAAACCATGAACATGAAATGCTGTAAAAAATATTTGACTCACTGGCAGAAATCCACAGAATTTTTTGGAAAGCATAAATGTTGCTCCTTAGGCAACTGTGTGTGTGTGTGTGTTTGTGTATGTTGTCTGTGTTTATATTATTTAATATGTCATGAATTATAAGCAGGACTGACTACATAATTTGTGAGGCCAAGTGCAAATGAAAACGTGGGGCCCTTTGCTCCATATTCATTAAGCATTTTGAGACCGTGACAGCAGAGCAGTAAACCCAGCGAGGGCCCTTCTTACCACGGGTCTCTGCACGGGTGACGCCCCATGAAGGCCCTGGTCCTGACTATGAGATACCTTCTTTCAGTCCTGTTCCCCAGGGATTGACAGAAGTGGGTGAAGAACTACTGCTTTCCAATCTTACCTCCTATTGGCCTTGCCTCATCTCTTCAAAAACCAAAAAGAAAAAAATTTAATTGTGGTAAAATACACACGACATCAAATTTACTGTCTTAATAATGTTTAAGCATACAGTTTAGTGACATCAAGTGCATTCTCACTGTCATACAACCATCTATCCCCAAAAGGTCATCTTGTAAAACTGAAACTCTGTACCCATTAAACCACAGGTACCCTCCTCCAGCCCTGGCAGCCCCCATTCCACTTTCTGTCTCCTATGAATTTGACTATTCTAGGTACCTCATATAAGTGGAATCATACAGTATTTGTCTCTTTGTGACTGGCTGATTTCATTTGGTGTCATGTCCTCAAGGTTCATCCATGCTGCAGCATGTGACAGAATTTCCTCCCTTTTTTAAAAAAAAGATTATTTGAGAGAGAGAGGGGGAGAGAGCTCATGAGCAGGGGGGAGGAACAGAGAGAGGGAGGAGCAGACTCCCTGCTGAGCAGAGAGCCCCTGATGCAGGGCTCTATCTGAGGACCCTGAGATCCTGACCTGAGCCCAAGGCAGACGCTTAACCAACTGAACCATCCAGGTGCCCCAATTTCCTGCCTTTTAAAGGCTGAATTCCATTCTGTCGAATTCCATTGTATGTATGTGCCACATTTGTTTTCATCCATGTATGGACTTTTGGGTTGTTTCCATCTTTTGGCTGTTGTGAACAATGCTGCTATGAACATGAATACACAAATATCTGTTTGAGTATCTGCTTTCATTTTGGGGGGTGGGTATTAACAGAATTGGAATTGCTGGATCATGGTAGGTAGTTCTCTTTTTGACTTTTGAGAAACCATTGAACTGTTTGCCACAGTAACTTCCCCATTTACATTTCCACCAATACTGTACATCCTCACTAACTCTTGGTTTACTTTCTATTTTTTTCATCCTGATGGGTGTGAAGTGGTAGGTATATCATTGTGGTTTTGATTTGCATTTCCCTAGGGATTCGTGTTTACCTTTGTTTTTAAGTTTGCTTTCAGGTACTCACAGGGTCACTCTTCTTTCTAGAAAAGAGATGAAGTTTCTGGAGCAGTCAGGTTCTCTGAAAGGCTCCCTGAGTGCTGAAGAGCAGGGGTCACTCATCAGTGGTTGTTTGACTATTCAAGCAGCGGCAGAGGGCGCCATGCACATTCAGGTGAGTTGATACTGCGCTTAGTCTCCAAGGGCTTGAAGAGCTTGTCTTCCAACCTCCTTGGAAGAGCGGGGGAGATAAAAGGCAGTTGCAAGGTGTGGGCATCTTGTACCCTGAAGGTCAGGATTATGTTTTATGTGATAAGAAGCATTGTTTCAAAACATCTCCTATATGGGCTCTCATCAAACTACTGTGATTGATTAAATACTGTCTTTCAGAGGTGTTAGAATTTTGAACAGAAGTAGGGTTTTCTGGACAGCTAACACTTTTGTTTTATTTTTCTATTGAATGAGAGATTATATTTTTGTTCTCATATATAATTGAGTAAAAACTTAAAAGAAATCATCTGAAATAAACCCTTTCATTTCTTATAACATTTGCATTTAACTTTTCCAAGAACTGTACTTAAAAGAAGAACTCCTCAGGCACTGTTTGCACAGCAGAGAAAGCTGCAGGCAGGCTCTTCGGGGGCTGCGCCCGCAGCATGGTGCCTGCCGGGTCAGGACCCGTCCCTCCTAGAGCTCCTTTGTTTATAGACAGCTCCTGCCCATATTTAAGAACCCAGATGTATAAATTTGTCTTTTTAAAAATGTTACACTTACTGCCATAAGATTTAAGCGGATTTACCTAAAACTGAAAGAAGCATCACTCCTGATACCCCTCCTTGATATCATGTGTTGTGAGGCTTGCACGTTTCTGTTGATTCAGTGTTGCACATTTCATGTTGTTTCTGTGATGACATTCTAGCTGAGAATTTGGGAGCAAACCAAAAAGACTGAGTGTGTTTTATGGTCAGCTGCTGCTCTGAGATTGAGGTCAAATACAGTTAATTGAGGTTCTCTGTCTTTGTAGCTCTGAAATTTCTCTAGTTCATTTAACAAACATGTGTCAAACAGAAAATAAGAAGAGGACTGGATACATAAGATAGGTCAATTCCATATCTTTTTTGAGTATTTTCATCTCTGTCTCTCATTTGGTGAAGATTGTATAAAACTGGGGAGTCTTACAAGGGATCAGAGGGCTCCTCTCGGGAGCTTTCCAATGCCATCTCTTTCCACCCTTGCAGTGCTGCTGACAGCTGTCGGGGGGGGCCTCGCTTCTGAGGAGCACAGAAGCTTTCCAGCCTTGCCAGTGTGAGCTCAGCAGAGAAGGTTCTTCACATGCATTTTGTTTCTAAGGAAAGTGTATGCTTCTATGCTGATCCTGCTGGAGGAGGAAAAACAATTTGGATTTTGTGGCTCCTGACATTAGCAAGGACCTGTGGGAGCTTCCTGCCGTGGAGGTGGTGGTTGAGGGCATAGACTTTTAGTCAAGTGGACTTTGCACTGAGCAGCTGTGTGCCCTTGTGAGTTTCTCAACTTTTAAGCCCCACTTCCTCATCTGGATAATGGGCATAATACCCAGTGCACTGGTGGTTGTGAAGAGAACCATCCATGCTAACATCTAAGGTCACCCTTATCGAAGGCAAACCTCCATTTTTCCAACAAGAAGATTAAAAAAAAAATTCTTTTTGGGGTGAATTTGTTATATAATATTTACATGATACATAATAAAATATTACAATTACATATATGATGTGATCTGAAATAGGAATATGTAACACATTACTGAAACATTTTTACATTCCCATTTCACAAAACACTTCTTTTTTAAAAAAATTTAAAGATTTTATTTCTATGTTTGAGGGAGAGAAAGTGAGAGAGAGAGCATGAGAAGGGGAGGGGCAGAGGGAGAGGGACAAGCAGACTCCCTGCTGGGCGCAGAGCCAGATGAGGCCATGCGACCGCCAGGACATGGGGCTCGACGCGGGGCTCGATCCAGGACCCTGACATCATTACCTGAGCCAAAGTCAGATGCTTAACCAACTGAGCCACCCAGGTGCCCCAAAACACTTCTGTTCAAACTCTTAACAGTCATCTCTGACTCTGGTGTCTTTATCTTCAATAGAGAGCTATTTTTGAGTCTCCTTTCTAGGCAGAGTTTTCCAGAGCACGTCATTGTTGCTTTCCTGAGATGATGTTGTGCAGAGCTTTTTTAACCCACATATGACATGGCATTAGAAGTTTTATCTCCAGCCTCAGCTACTAATTCTCAAACGTTCAGGTGTTTTTTTCTCTCTGTGGTGCTATACTTGTGGTTCCTCAACATAACAACTGGCTATGTTACTTTTTTTGTTTTAAAATTATCTTTATAAAATTTATTTCCAAATTTCCCAGCACTAGCAATTGTGAAATCATGCTGTAGGAATAATTCAAATGTCTGTGTTAAATTTCTTTGTCTCCTGGTCCCATTTGAAAAAATAGATTTTATCAGATGATTTCTATGCTAGCATGATTGAATTAGTTCAGAAGAATGTGTCTTCCCCAAACAGTATATTATTTTTCAAAAAAGATACCTTCATAATAGAACTTTATAATGACTTGAATATAAGGCAAGTCTTTTATGGGATAATTTTTGAGGAATATTCTAAGTTATAATGCATGTAAAATGCTTAGCCACAGCACTTGGCACATAGAAAATGCTTAAAAAATTGATAAAATAAGTAATTTTATAATGTGACCATTTGTATACAATTTTGATAATAAATGATTTGGGGCAATATATGTTGTTCTATGCAAAGTATTGAAAATTGCTCCTTAAGGTCTGTCTTTATTTTGTAGATTGAATGTATTTACATGGCATTTACATGTTGAGCAGCATCTATTATGTAGAACAACACTGAGTCAGGCAGTGTAGGGAGAGGAATATAGAAAAGACGATGCAAACTCCACTAGGTTTTATTTCCTGTAAGAGATTATGGTGTTCAGAAATTACTTGTACCTCTAGTCCCACAAAGAGTAATGGAGAGGGGCACAGATCTGAGCCGGAGGCTTTGGGAAGGTTTGACGACGGTAGGATTTGAGCCTGCTTTGGCCTTTGACAAGTAGATTTTGGTGGATGAGGTGGGGACAATGTCTCAGAAAGAGACGAACAGAGGATGAGAGGTGCCTGTGAGTATGTTTGAGGCAAGCAGAGTAGAATGGTGAGGCTGAGTCACAGGGCAGTTGGACAGGTGGGAAAAGGCTGGAAGTAGCAGCTAAGTGGGGAATGCTTGGAATGCCAAACTGAAGATTTACTTAGATGAAATGAGTTAACCTTTGTAAAATGATTGGAGTAATGCATGGCACATAAGAGCCCTATTTAAGTGTTCTCTTAAAGAAATAAAGAGTTTGGGTTTCATTCTACATCCTGATTAGAATCCTCCAAGGAAGGTGTTCAACAGGACAGTGAAACTAATCAGAAGGAAAAACGGGTAAGAGAAAAAAACAAATTGAGATTTCATTTTTGTCCATTGCTTTGACTGATTTTCTCGGGCATGTTTACACATTTCTTTATATGACATAGGGCAAATTTGGTTTTCCAAATTTTGCAACTAATGCATATCGATTTCACCTTATGTTTATCAAACAAGTATATAGACACCCCCAAATCAAAACCTGCCTAACAATATGTCATGTGTTTGTTAAATTACATTAGGTTTCTAATAATCTAAGGACGTTAAAATTATATTTTGAAGAGTAAAGAGTGAAGAAAATTTAGGAAAATCCTGTATAGTTCCATTATTCCAAAAATGTCTTAACATCTTGGTATGTTTGTATTTCTTTCCATTTCTCCTATTTATATCCTGTCTTTCTCTAACATACTTGACTTTATACTGTAAATAGAATTTTGTATCATGATTTTTGTTTAAAACTTAGAGCATTTCTTGCTGTGTGATTTGCCCAAGATTCTATCAGATAGAAGTATAATTTTTGGACTTAAAGTAATTGTTATGTTTATCATGTGATATCTAACCTGAAAGAACCTTCCATCTAAGAATGACATTAAAGCTGAAGTTCCAAAATGCCATCTGTCAGGTGTCTACTCTGCCAGGCCTCATGACCCATAGACTTCTTGCTAACTATACCTTTATCAGCTCTTACAATTCTCTTTTCCAGTTTATAAAAGGAAACATTCACAATGTAGAAAAATTAATCTGGGCTTTTTGGAGACATTTTTCTTACAAAAAGAAAATTAACATTACTTTTGGGAATTGTTCAAAAGCAGGGGGCAGAGTTTGTGAATTAAAAAACAAGCAAAACTACGTTGCTTGCCACACAGTTGTTCAACTACAAAAGTCCCACTGTAGGATTTACTGAGTCCCCAAGGATCAAAGCCCCAGAAATGTGAGTGTAACTCTCTGTGGTAGATTTGTCTTCTACCCAAACCCCAGAGGGCAGGAGCATGGATCAGAAAGTTCCTTAATTGTCTGCTGAAATGTGGGAGCATACAAGAATGAAACCTGAATTTCTATAACTTAGCACAATTTGGTAATCAAATCTTGCCTAGCAAGAAAATCGACTATGCTGGAAAAATAAGTTTATTCTGAAAAGCCTGTCTAAAGCTTTGACTGACTCTGAAAGAGCATTAAGACTCATTAGCTGTGATACAGAGCCTTTATCTGATCTCTGGAATTTAAGACTTGAGATTGAAGTAGCTGGTAGGAGCCATGGGAATGGCTTATAGAATTAGGGAGTTTAAATGACTTTCCTTATACAAAATCAAGGACAACTGCTGAAATCTGGAAGTAAAAATTATATCATCTGTGTGGATAAGGAGAATTTACATCTGAACTTTACCTTTACAATTTAGAGGATGCTAGTCATTTTGATGAGGACTGTCAGTGATTATAGGACGCAGTATTCATAAACACTAACACCACTTTTAAATTTATGTTTTCTTAAAGGATGGGAGCTTGTTGGACTTTTGGTCTTGATTCACTGAGGCTCAGAATAATCCTTTCAGTAAGAATGAGGGTGTGGGTGTGGGGTGTTCGTGTAGTGAAGGGCACATGGGGCAGCCAACACTGAGAACATATAGGAGTGTACATGGAAATTTGAATTTCATTTTTCCTGTTCCATGTACTTTTTTAAAAGAAAAATTTGTAAAATCAGGTTTATTGAGGTACAGTTTACATATAATAA